AAATCCGCATTTTTCTGCTAAATCCCCATTTAAATCCCCTTAAGTAAGAAATAAAAAATATGTATTCTCATTTCTGTTAGTTCATTTTAATTACAGTTTTGAATACTTTTCTATTACAAATTTTCACAGATGTATATATGTACATATATACACCCAGAAAAAGGTTTAGTTATAATAACCAAGATTTGGTTATAGTGATCAAGTGGCATAGTTGGATATGGCGAAATAAATATATAGTTCACGAAAGTCTGCAATTTACTTAAGACTTCTAGTTGGGACAAATGTATATTTGTTAATAATTACAAAACGACTACCTTGATTGGACAATATTGTTAGTTGAATAAAATCATTGTTGAGCAAATATAAACAATGCTTTGGTTGATACAAGTTTTCAATTAATCTTGTGAACTTGCCGTAGACTTGAATCAGCTAACCGTTTATTATTGGGAAAAAAGTTTCAGTTTGACACAAATAAAAATTTACTCGATGTTTGTTGTGTTTACTTTCTTCTTTTATTTGCATATATTAAGCATAAAAATACGTACATATTTACATAAGTTAGTTACTAAAGTAAATAATACATATGTATATGGTGGTAAGAATTTCCTAAAAAACAACGATGAAACAGGAACAGTCGTGCGAAAACCCAGGTCAATATCTGCTGGAAGTATACTGCTTTGCTTTTTCCTTAGCTAAATAGACACTTTCAAATTATAATTCACATGAATTATATATCCACTGAAAAACCCCGGTTGGCATCAAACTTTATATTTTTAATTAAACTTTAAACTATGCGCGCACCGAAACAACCCGCGATGATAGCAAAACTGAAACTGTGACAAACAAGTATGGGCATGTCATAGCACACATGGCGCAGCGATCGACATGCCATAGCTTACTGAGCGCTCTGGGACCACATGCGTGTTTCACCCATATACGAACAGCGGTAGCGGAGCAATGATTTCCACGCACAATGCAATGGTCGGCATACTAGCGCATTCAAACGATTCAATAAGTGGGACTGTGTGCATTGCTCAGCTGGCGCTCTTCGTATGTGCTCAGAGAGCGCTCAGCATTCTTTAGGGGTGGCTCACAAGCATGAATATGTTCCACTCTCAAACCAAATCGTGGTTGCCTCAACTAAGATTTGGTAACTATGACTAAACCACGTGTTGAAAGAAAGCTTATCTGCATTAGCAGAGCTTAATAACATCCTTTTATGAACCATACGTTAAGTTGAATGGAATTTGTAGAAATATGCTTCAAAGAAATATTTATTAGTATTAACCAAACCCTTCAACTAAATTAACGATTTGTTACAACCTAGATGAATATTAGAAGCTTTAATATATTTAGTTATAATAACCAATCGATGGTAATAGTTCCCAATCCTTGGTAACAGTTCCCAAATATTGTCGAAATTCGGGAACTAAATATCTTTAGTTGTCGAAACTAATCCTTTTTCTCAGTGTATGAGATCATTTGGTTATTTACGTATAGCGGTTTCTTATCTTTTATGGTTTTTGGAGACTATTTAACAACATACCTTCGGCCCAAGGTTCCTATTCCCATTGCTGTCTGTAAGTTCGTCAAATTTTGTTTGCGCGCTTGCCACTTTGTAAAATTCTTTTTACACTAAGGAAATCAGAAATATATGCAGTCCATTCGACAAATGCCAATCACAGCGACCCTCTTACAATTTGGTGTAATGAAGTGAGAGAAAATTGTATGTTAAGCAAAAGCCAATTAAAACAGGCATTTGCCACGAATAATGCTTTGACAAAGAAAATCTTTGTTTGAGAAATGTTTAAGGGCAGGCAGTAAAATGTATGTATTTTAATTTCAATATGAATATTTTAAACCAAACAAAAATCCCCACATCCCCAAACGAAAAAATCTATCCCCAAATGGTTTCAGAAATCTGTCGGCACATTCCGAACGAAAAATGACACTAAAGATGGAACAACGCCGAAACCGGTTTGTCTCCAAAGCAAATTTGCCAAAAGATGACGAAAAATCGTTCCACATTACATCATACTCCTACCCTGTCGGAAACACCAACAACGAAAACGAGAATATCGGCACATGCAGTAATTGATAGAAAAGTATTTTCTTATAAAAATCAAATTATTATAATTGTCAATAGCATTTTAAATTTTGATAATTTATCAAGAAAATTGATTTATGGTGATTGCGTTTCTACCAAAAAGTGTTGTCTTGCCCGGTGCAAAATGTGTTTGATGTTACACTCAACTCTTTGAAAAGGCATGTTTTTGCCTTCTAGTTCTTGTCCACCTCATGCATTTCATCATATTATCGTTTTAAGCAACCATCTGATTTTCATGGGCAACCATCTCCCCTGACAAAGCTTTAAGGGGCACAAAAGGTGCCTTTACACGAGTGTGGCACTTTGAGAAATGAACACAAAATTTTCTCACCCTTTGCCTTTAATTTAGAATCGAACACGAAAAGAGAAAGGGGCAATCAAAAGGCGACATTTTTTGGTAGAAACGAAACAGAACAGGGAGTTTTTGATAAATAATCGAAAATTGACAATTTACAAAAATATTGAATTTATTAAGTGCACAGAATCGGGCTGTAAGTATATACACATTTGTTATGAAATATAGCAGTTTTAGCAGATTTTGCTATTGAAGATTTGGTAACTTTTGGTAACTTTTCTTAAGAGATTTTGGTAGAAAAAAATGGTGGCGAGTGGCAACCATGAGTGCGAGGCGAGTAGGTGTCTGCATACTCGCTCTGCTAGGTAAGACGAGTGAGCGACGAGCGAGCGCTCCGAGTGTACTATACAACACATGCATTTTTGTGCATAAAAATGTGGGAATGTAGTCAATAGATTATTTACGAAAGTATGTTAATAATTGTATGTACATATGTACTATGCATATAAATATGTGAATATTATATTAGGGCAGCATTTAAAACAATAAATAAACCCTGCAAGAACGTACTGACAAAATTACCACTACACTCACATTCGTTATGTCAGCACTGACCGACAGATTACTTTTCAAATGTGGGCCATTGTGATTGTCAAAAAGAGACAACTGCGTCTGATTATGCTAACCTTATAACTACACATGCGAGAATGAGAGAACCGATTTACTGACTTTATCAGTACTGACCGACAGTTTACCCATTGACTGTTTGCCATTGTGATTGCCAAAAAGAGACATTCGGCTGTTATTATGCGAACTTCATAACTACATATGCGAGAATGAGAGAACCGATTTACTGACTTTATCACTACTGACCGACAGATTATCCATCAAATGATTGTATCTGCAAAAATTTGGCAGAACTGCGAAATTTCTGAACCCACGCGCATTCTTTGTGAAAACTCAGAGGTGAAAAGAAGCATTTATTTAGAAGCGGCATATTAAAAGGAAATAATAATAAAAGATAAGTGTACTATGAAAAAACGGGCTTTTCAAAACTCCTTAAATAAGGAAAAGAGGATTTTCGAATCCAATGTTAAAAAATATAAGGAATTCGCGGAATGTGTGGGAAGTGTGAAAAAAAGTGAATTCGAAAATAAAATTAAATATATTAAAAGTGATTGTGAAAATAGTGAACTTCTCCTCAGGAAAGGCGTTACATCTGACCCTGTACAGTCTGCGTCGACTAGTTCTGATTTTTTAATCGACTGTGACACCGAAATTTTGGGTGGTGATGCAGTTGCTGAATCTTTACCATTAGGATCCTTGCGTGATCCGTCTGTTGGTGAAAATTCTGAATTAGATTTTGAATTAGTCGAACCTGATACTGAGCCTTTAACTTCAGGATCTTTAGATGATTTAAGTGTTGACTCTGTACAAAAAAGTGAAGAAATTAGGCTATGGGCCATTAGGAACAATGCATCTCAAAATGCATTAGATGATTTTCTGAAAACTTTGCGCAGAATAGGAGTTGAAGGTTTACCGCTTTCCGCAAAAACTCTCCTAAATACAAGCAGGCAAAAGGTTAGCGTTAGGAATATTCCCAATGGCGAGTTTTTATACATAGGTATACAGAAGTATTTTCTTTCGAACTCATTCGATGTTGAAAATATGAAAGAAGTCTTAATCTCTTACAACTCTTTAAGAGTTCGAATAGAGTTTTGTGGCCCATACTTGGAGCGCTTTCAGACTTCCCTAATGTCCCACCATTTATGATCGCTTGTTTTTCCGGTTTTAAAAAGCCGGAAAACATTAATAGTTTTATGGCAGATTTTTGCTCAGAAGTGAAGTTTTTAAGAGAAAACGGGGTTAAAGTTGGTCAAAGCCAAGCTTTAAAAAAGTTTAATGTCCGTTTATTTTCTTGCGATTCTCCAGCTAGGGCGTATGTTACAGGTATTATGTCACATAATGCTAAAAATGGTTGCCCCAAATGTTGTCAGGAAGGATTGTATAGAGACAGAAGGGTGTGTTTTTTGAAAGAAGTTGGCCCACTTAGATCAGATATAACTTTTGAATTGAGAACTAATACCTCTCACCATGTTGCCGAATTTAAAGAAAAAAAGAGCGTTTTGGAAGAAGCAGGTTTTGGAATGGTATCCCAATTTCCTCTAGATTCTATGCATTTAGTCGATTTAGGAGTCACTAGAAAATTGCTGAAACTGTTTTTAAAAAAGGCTAATATAAAAAATATAAATAAAAAAATAAAACATGTTGCTCAATTTATTCCATCTGAATTCGGTCGTGTATCTAGAAGCCTTGATGAAATAAATCATTGGAAGTCCACTGAATTTAGGCAATTTTTGTTATACACAGGAATATTTCTTTTAAAAGATTGCATAAATAATGACTCATACTACCTTTTCTTGTTGTTGCATAGCGGTATAAGACTCCTATCAAGTGAGAAGTCGTGTAAGACAACGTTGCCCAATCACTCTTAAATGATTTCGTAAATTATTTCGGAAGCATATATGGTGATGAGTTAGTTAGCTTCAATATCCACGGCTTGCTTCATTTGTCAGATTGTGTCAAACAGTTTGGCCCTTTAGATTCCTTTTCAGCGTACTGATTCGAAAACTATATGCAGTTCCTTAAAAAACTGGTTAACAAGCCCAGTCAAATTTTACAGCAAATATATTTAAGGCTCAATGAGAGACAAGGACTTAATTCTGATTTTAACAATACTTCGATTGGATCATTTCAGATAAATCCTCTTAAAGAAAAAGACTGTTTTTGTTTTAGTCAAAAAATTGGACCTTTGAAAGCTTTTAACATTATAAAGTCATCCGAGTCAGATAAAATTCATTGTAACGCTTTTCAGACAATAGAAAATTATTTTGAGGAACCTCTTCTTTCCGCCAGTGGTCTGGGAATAGTTTTCGCTAGTAATTTAAGTGCTCAAGTAGTTGAAGTTGCTATTAAAGACATTGACTATAAATATTTTTGTATCCCTAACTCTGGAAAATTTCTTTTGATTCCTCTCTTACACAATTTGTTTCACGATTTTTCACACAATACCGCACATTCCGTTTAAATGAAGTAATAAAAAACAATAAAATTAATAAATTTATATAATTTTACATGAGTTTTAACATTAGCAACCTATTTGAAAGCTCCCTTTTTCAAGAGAGTCAGGAGCAAAATGGTAAGCAAAACAACTTTTCTCTAGTTACGCACATGTTTGCAAATTTTTCTTGTCTTAGATCTTGAGTCTATTATACAAAAAAAGTGCTACATAACCTCAGCTGAAAATGCTATGCAGACAACCACGTCAACCCCAATAAGCGGTTCAGCAACAGCACCTCAGGTTGAATCAGGTTCAGTGGCATCTGTAGCATTTAATGACGGTAATTTAAAATTTACCGCTGAATTCAATTTAATATGTATGTATATATTTTTTTTTTCATTTCAGAGATGATGGGAATGCTGAAACAAATTTTGGCAAACCAAATGGTGATAGGGGAAAAGTTGTCGACGTTGGAAGCCAATGTATGTAAAAACATTTTGTGCTAATTTCCATACTTTATTATATACAGTGGCTTAGAAAATAATACGAGTGTGACTATTTTACCAGTCTTGGCTACTTATAATTTAAAAATTCATTTTTTAATTCTAATTCCACACTCCTATTATTTTGTGCACCAATGTACATGCGATATTCCTTCAAATACAGTGGCGTTCACGTAAATAGCACACATTTACTTTTTGCATATGTATGTATATATGTATATATAAATATAGTACATTCTATAAATATGTTAAATCTTCCTGAATTGTCCACAAAGTTTTAAACTTCGACTATATGTTTTATGTTATAGAATGTACTATATTTATATATACATATAAACATATACATATATATATATATACATATGTATATATATACTGCAAAAAATAAATATGTATGTGTTAATAGATGTATCTATTTTAAATATTTCTTTTAGCAAACTGTTATACACTCAAAGTTGGAATTTTTTGGGGAAGTGCAGGGAACGCTGATCCACAACCAAGGTGTCATAAGTGAGCAGGTTGAAAAACTCAGTCACGATGTAAGAAATAATTATAAAAATTTAAAACTTATATATAAACATGTACCTTATTTTTTTTGAACAGTACGTTGATAAATCTGAAACCCTTGCCCAAAACACTTTGCTCCGCGAATGCAAGGTCGCGATAAAAAAAGTAGAGCGATCAGTCTGCCTAATGACTGGGGAGTTAAGAGACGACGCCCTTGACGAAGTGGCCAGAATGCTCCCAATCAACACCCTTGAATCGGTATTGGAGGTTGAGGAAAAACTAAAGGAACCTCACTTCGCGCAAGCAATGGTAAAAAATGAGCATAATCTTTCTACCTTCTTATGTTAATATATTCTTTCTGTATGGTTATTTTCTGCAGACAACATATTGTCATAAGCTGAAGGGCACATCTGAGGAGGTCGATGGAGTCCTTCGGAATTTGTTTACAGATACTCTCCTGGAGTCCTTCAATTGGGATGGAAGGGGAGAAAGGCAAGCGTTAGCGAAACTGGATGTTATAGAAAAAGTATTGAGAGGTAAATAAATTGCAAACAAAAATAAGCCGAAGTCATTTTTTAATCAATTTTATTTTTTATTTAGGCGTTTTTCAACTACATGGTGCCTTCGAGTTTGAAAGAGGTGTGCGAAAGGCTGTAGAGAAGAGCCATCATCGCATGAAGCAGAAGAAATATATATCGAAGAAAAATAGAATACAATAAGTACAAGATAGGGATAGAGTACAACTCCACAACAAGCTTTTCCGGCGTTTGCCGGTTTTCAGGCCTTCACCTACACAATTCAGCTATTTCTGAAAGTCTAAAAAGCGCTGAACGCCTGAAAAGCTTGTTGTAAAGTTGTACTCTTAAAGTGTAGTATAGTCTTACACTTAGTTTTTAATTTTCTGTTCTTTTATCCTTTAAAAGGCCTTTGACATATTAAAGGACTAACAACTTAAACAAAAAAACGCTAAAAATACATCAATTCTCTGAGGTGTAGTCGTTTCTGTATCAGCGGAAAAGTAAAAATATCAGAAATATAAAAAATACTTTTTTTCTGTCTTGAAATAAGATATACATATGTTATTTGTACTTTTGAAAATTAAATCCTTTTCAAAGCAAAAATTAGATATATTTTTTAAGACAGTAAAAAGTATTTTTCTTATATTTCTGATATTTTTACTTTTCCGCTGATACAGAAACGACTACACCTCAGAGAATTGATGTATTTGTTAGCGCTTTTTTTTTAAGTTATTAGTTCTTTGAAACTTTAAAGGCATTTTAATGGATTCAAAAACAAAAAATTTAAAACTAATTGTAAGGATATACTTTATTTTCTTAACTAAAACAAACAGTGCCTTACTCAATTTTCCAATTAAAAATGAATAATTTTTTAAGTTAAATATTTTTTGAAGCCCCTAACGTAACATTACACCGCGTGTCAAAATTATAAACGCACCACATATTGACAAGTTTCATTAAGTCTTTATTATTTCATTTTAGTTAGTTTTTTATAAAAATATAGTTTATTCTTTGGTAAAGGCCATACAAATCCATGTTTCTAATTTTGTGTAATGTTTAAAAAAGTTACCAAACCTTGGTAAAAATTTCGAGTATGCAGTTTTGTAGCCCATTTCATTTTAGTGCAATAAAGTGTAAGTTTGAAGTAGCTAGGACTTACCGTTGATTTTTGGTATTTTTTTTTTGTTGCTCGTTTTTTGCTATATAAAATATCGTCTAACATGCATAGTTTGTATGAAAAAATTAGTAACATCAACGGAAAATAAAAAATTTCCCAAAATGAACGGTAAGTCTTAATTACTTCCAACTTGCACTTTATTGCACTAAAATTGAACGGGCTAGAACACTCAAAAACTTTCTTATAACTCTAATTAGAAAGCTTTGAATGGTTATCAAAGTTTGTTGACATTTTTGAACATTGCACAAAGTTTGACACTTGCATTTATACGGATTTTGTTAAAGAATATACTATGATAAACTTAACTATAATTAAGTATAAAAAATAATTTAACTTATATATACATATGTAGTGCCTTTATAATTTTAACACGGGGTATATTTTCTTTTTTAATAGTTTTAAATGAATTGCTTTTACGTTAACTATAGATTTAAGGTATTTAAGATGTAAAAATAAATATTTTTCATGAAAAAATTAAAAAAGTATCATATTTATTAAAAAAGAAAAAAGAATTATCATTTTTGACGTGTTAATGCGTCATTAATGACAATTGTCATCTCTGATAGATTGTGACAGGCTTATGCAACAACAATGACGATTGTCATTTCTGATAGATTGTGACGGGTTAATACATAAACAATGACATTTGTCTTCCCTGATAAATTTCCAATCAGCGCTGACCCAATAAAATGAATGAGAGTGAGTGGTGAAGATATATGTTTGGCTTTTCGGAAATTTCGATGCGTTAGAGCAAGAGGCAAAATCACACGTACACATTTGTTTACATCAGTTTTCGCATAGTGCTCTTAAGAAAATGATACAAACTTTGTTCTACGTACTGACAAATTAATTTCATTGCTGAACGTCAGATGAATGGTCAAATGGCTGACACTGTTCTTGCAGGGAAATATTGTTTAGAGTTATATACATACATATGTACATACATAACATGCATATTTATATATGTATGTATGTACGTATTTATGTATGTATGTACATATACATGCATTTTGTCTTTACAGAGAAAAGTAAGTAACGAAGATATTATAATCGTTATTTGTGCCGCAGAAACAAAAAAACAAGTAAGCACTTGTTAATACCCCAAAATAGTTTTCTACTTGTAGCACTTATGCTGTATACCTAGGGCTGCCAAATATCTCTGTTGCCAAACCGGGACACTTTAGGGAGGGCCTCTCGCTCCCTTCTCTTTCATTTCGACGTGCGAAAGCATGTAGGGAAATTTTATTTTGACAGACAAAAACAAAAACATAAAAACATGAGATCATAACATCATTACAACGTACGCCAACAAAACAAAACAACTTATCACAACTAAAGCACAGAGAATTTTTTACAATGCATGAACGTTTTTTATTCTTTATAAAAATACAGTTTATACTAAATATATAAAAAAACATAAAAATAAAATTGTTAAACTTTGTGCTAAACTCGGGAAAATTCAACAAATTTGCAACATTCTAATCAGACTTTTTATACAAAATTTTAAAATGAAGTTTTGCAGCCCATTAAATTTTAGTTGATTTTTGGTATTGTTTTTACCGAGAGTTTCTTCCATACAAACTATGTTTGATAATTCTTTTTATATGGAAGACACTGTCAGCAAAAAAAAAATAAATGCTAAAAATCAACGAAATTTGCTGGCAACATCAGACTTGCACTTTATTAATTTTCTCAAAAGCTACATTTTAAAAATTTTTCTAGAAGATCTGATTAGAAATTGTGATCTGATTAAAGAGCATCCGAGCCAATAATTTTGTACGGCACTGTACTTATAAGTACTCTAGGTTTCATGAAAGAAAAAAATATAAGTACAAGATAACATTAAAATATCAGTCATATTTTTCGTTGCTGTGAACTTGTTTCAAAACTTTTGTCTTTTCCTTAATATAATTGTAAAACTCTGTGCACGTCATTTTGAACGTCCTTAGGTACATATCGATGCCTGATTGGAAGATCGACCTATCTCGGCAGCCAGTTCGAAAACGCCCTATCTCAGAAAACTTTTCAAGAACGCCCTACTTCAGAATTTGATTGAAAAACGCCCTAATTCAGAATATTATTGAAAAACACCCTACCTCAGAATTTGGTTGAATAACGCCCTATCTCAGAATTCGGTTCAAAAACACCCTATCTCAAAGGGAAATACATTGAAAATAAGCTGAGATAGGGCGTTTTTGAATCGACCTCTAAGATAGGGCGTTCTTCAACTAAATACTGAGCTAGGGCGTTTTTGAATCGGCATCTAAGATAGGGCTTCCTGAAAAGTTTTCTGAGATAAAGCGTTGTTGAAAAATTTTCTAAGATAGGGCGTTTTCGAACTGGCTGTCGAGATAGGTCGATCTTCCACTCAGCCATCGATATACTAATCATCAACTATTGCTCGTGCAAAGTTCAGCTATCTCGAAATGTGACTATTTCACAAATTAAACCGGTGCACTGAGAGAAAGAAGTTTAGAATTAAAAAAGCGTGCTAAATTAAAAAAATACGCATATGAAAGAGCACCAACCCAACTCGTAATACATTTAAGTATACAAATTTTAGTATTTAGTATAGAAATATTCAATTCAAATACGCCCATATTAAAATGAAGCGATTTGCAATTACCGATTGCTTTTTCATAATTAAGTTAAAAAAATATTTAAATTCCATGCTGGTTGTAATGGGAATTGAACCCTGACCCTCTGGAAATTAGCAAATTGTGGCAAGCATCTTCGCGCACTCAGCTACAGCCAGACATGTAAATGTGCATTTAAATGTTGAGTTTGAATCAACACCAGGTGTGCGTGTTATGAAAGTATTATTTTTAAATACGAACATTTTTAAACGATAATCAAATAGAAAATATTCATGCTTACTATGCGTGATTTTTGAACTTTTATTCAAATTTGTGCAATCAAATCAAAAACCGGGACAGTAAAACTAAACCCGGGACATTTTAAGGTTGGGACACCGGGACAAATAGTCTGAAACTGAATGAAATATAATCCTTGGTGAAAAAATTTATTTGTGGCCTGTTGTTCAAGGACATATGTACATATGTACATATGTATGTATGGATATGTAGCCATGGGAAAATTTGCGTAAACAAAGAATAGAGGCCGGTTCACATACAACTTTGGCGTTGCGTTGGCGTTGAATTTCAAAGCAGCCGCAACTTGAAAGTTTTATGTGGACCAGCCTTAATTATCAAATACTGTTTAACACCCCAAATAGTAGTTTGTATTTTCTACATACATACATACATGTGTATGGGGACTAAACCAGGAATATTCATTTGAAAATGCTAATGTCCTACTTATTTATGAAATGAAAGACAAAACAATAATTTTTATAAATATTATATTATCATTTATATATATGTAACAAAGTTACTTAGCCGAATTACTTAGTAATTACTTGTATGTAAGAATACAAAGACAAATTATTTATCAGAAGCATTGCCCTTTACACATTGAAAAAAAGTAATAAAAACTCTCAAAAAAGCAAAATCGTTACAGCTAAAAAAAGTGTTTGAAAAACCGCATAAATTCAAATCCGCATAAAAAAGAACCGCATAAAAAGAGACCTAAGTGTATAAGTGGAAATTTTATAAGGAATTATTGAACATTAAAAAAATTATACCTACATAGATATGTATGCACATATGTGCATACCTAGCAGACAAAACTGGTCAAAACAGCACGCATCTATTCTTCTGTGCATGAGAATATATACATAAACAAGTAAGAAAGTCTAAGTTCGGGCGGAGCCGAACATTAAATACCCGGCGCAAGTATTAAATATATGTTTTCCACCTTTCCGAAAGCTACCGCTACATGATAAGCCGGAGTGTATAAATATTAAGTAAATTAGCATCCTTAAATTTCGAAATATTGAAATTTCAAACATTTCTGAAATTTACCGTTATATGAAAAGCGGCCGTAATTTTAGTCCGATTTCAACAATTTTCAACGGTTTGCTTTTGTGTGGTAAGCACAATAACCATATCGAGTTTGGTACAAATTGCTAGAACGGTTAACGAGATACATATATGTGATCATAAGTGGGCGGTGCCATGCCCATTTTCCAAAATTTTATCATAAGCGTATGTCTTGGTAAAGAATTGTTGCAATAATCAATTTCGAACAAATTAGCTTTAATATTTACCGATTTATCGAGGATTTCGTATTTCTCTAAATTACCGTTATATGGGATGTGGGCGTGGTTATTGTCCGATTTCAAAAATTTACGGCCGTTTGGTATGATGTGCCAGGGCCAATAACTGTGCCAAGTTTGGAAGAAATTGGTGCAGCTGTTACCAAGATATAC